TCATGATATTGTTGCAATCGGGGTTTTAGCAAGAATGCAAAACACACAATTATGAAGCCAGCGTTGAACAAAAGGCCATCTTGACGGTCATTAACTTGCAAAAGTAAACAAAAAAGCTTTTGCACTTTTAGCTTTATCACGTGTGTCATTACAAACGAGCATTGCAAAGTATGTAGGGTATATCTTCAGGAAAACCCCTACAAGAAATACTTTCAACAGTTTATGTTGTACTCTGTGTTGGCAACACACGTTGTGGGTCTCCATGTGAGACTACGGCATGCACAAATATCGAACACTGGCTACGGCTCTTCACCGCTGCCTCTTTTGCTCAGAATTCGAAGCCGTATCGCGCAGGAGACAGAACCGGATTTTGGCTACCCTTGTCATGCGCCGTCATACCCCTGTCATAGGCGACCAACATTGACTTCACGTTACTCATTCAATGAGCTCAAACAAAACCCAACTTCAGTACATGTATTGGAGACTTCAACAATTAACAAATAATACTGTTCGGAATTATACCACGAACTCCCTCGTGGCGGTAAACGGAAAAGGAGGCCGCTTAGAACGACGTGCGTCATATGCATATTATGCTCGGGAAGTATGAAGTACGTACTGTACATTTCCTGAGCATAATATGCGCATGTGGACCTCCACTGGAAGCCAGATAAGTGCGAAACTAGACATCAGGCTATCGTAATACGTCACTATACGTACGACGACTCCCCATTCTACTGCAGTCTGCGTGCCACACCCACTTGAAAGAGGAGAGCATTCTGAAACAGTTGTTCGTACAAAGGATCCAGACTAACACACAACTTACCCTCGCGCATACAAGTGATGCCAGGCGATCATCGGCGATCAAGGGGAGCGGGTTAGCGTAGTGGTTCTTTCCTCGCTTGGCACCAATGAGGCCTGGGTTCGAGTCCCGGCTTGGCCCAGGCTTTAAGTGCATTTGGTTTCCAGCCCGTACTCGCTCTCGGAGGTTTTCTCCTGCCTCTAAAACTGGACCTTCTTCCTAATTCCGTAGTGTGATGCTGATTAATAAAAGTGTATGCATAAACGTACAGTCACTGGCGCAAGTAGCCTGAGTTGCTGAAAGCGCCATTAAAACAAAACAACAACAACAACAACAACAACAACATCGGCGATCGATCAACTGGTCATTATTACAGACAGCATTTTCGAAGTACAGGACAAAATGCAACAGCGGCAGTTGTTATATCTGTCGATAAACATTCGAATCACGGGAAGAGGTAGAAGAACAGCTTACAAACGGATCGAAATCTTGAATTCGCAGCAAAGCTACCACCTCCCACAAAGGTGTGCATTGCTGGTACCACAAGCACTATGGCGATAAAAGCGCATAAAATGTAAACCTATTTGTACATACAGCTGTATGACAACGCCAACAATGGCAGAGTTGTATCGAATAAATCGTGGTATCTGTGTCACACACCGATAGACCTACTTGCATCCACTTCTTAGCTGCTATACCACTGCTGATGTAAGCTTTTTCCCATCTACGGCCTCCGAAAAATAGATCTCTGACAAAATAGACTTAAATGGAACTTACAAGCGTCAGACAAGACACCAATTATGGTACAGTGACATTCCCTTATTCTCAATTTGGGACTTTGTCGTATAGATGGATGTTCATCCTGGGTTACCATGCCCATAGGTGCACATTTTCTCGATAAATTTGCATTATTGGTCGGTGTTGTATTCGGGTCCATCACAAGTCCCTTCACAAGGCTAGTCATAAAGTAACAGAGCGAACAATGACAAAGGAATGCTTTTGTCACAGCTTTTCACTGAAATACCTCACTTTAAGTTCAGTGCTGGTTTTTATTCTTCAACAATTTCGCCAAGTATTCAAAATAATACTAACAATCTAAATTCGCAAGGCCTTGTTAAGTCAGCACGCTAATATTGTAAACAAAACCAGGACACTACCTCAAACGTGACAACACATCACATGCGTACGACGGGATATACTCGTTCATGCTTGTCCTCTTCGTTTGGCACCCACTCGTCGCAAAATTTCAAAGTAGCTGGGAATTTGATTGTGTATTTCAATTAGGCGTCATTCGACTGTTGAAGTTAAGCTAACTCTTCTGCACTTGGGTCGGTGGAAAAAGGAAATCGGCATCCTTGCGGCGATCATAACGTTCTTGTCATGCAAGCGTATGGTGTTATATCTAATTCCTCTCATTTGTGGCTTCACTCCTAATGGTAGTCATATTTTCCAAGACTGAGCACAAGCGTATACATGTCCATGTAATCAAACACCACTTGAACCCGGCGATATTCACTAAACGGTCATAACAACAGCAATTGGTCTGTTTTGACTTATACCCACCCTTTGGTCTCAAGTTGGTAATGCAGCACCAACATTAGTGTTACGTGGATTACTTTATACTGATGACTTGCCTGTAGCCGGTAGTTACATAATAGGCCAAATCGAAGAACATTATGTTCCTCTCAAAGAAATTTTCCAAACATTTGATGTGTTTGGCGTAGCCTCAGTCCAGAAAAGCACGTGTTAGCAGTTGAAAGTGTAGTTTGGCATTTTTAGTGCCAAAGGTGTAACAACCACTCTGGTGAAACTAAACACCACTCGGGCCTATAGACTTTCCAGTTCCATTATTGTTAAGATACATATGGTATGAGTGAATTTATTATTATCGACGATTCATCATATCTGCTGCTAACATTGTACAGCCACTTCCATGTATCCTTCAAAGTAAGAAGCAAACGCTGAAAAGTGCAGCCTCCAACAACAGTAAAGCATTACTTATTACCCTGTTGGCCCATCCTCACTAGAACGGCGCTTTTGACTTTAATAATAACCAAAGATCGTGTAGCGCCGCTATACACGATCTCTGTCAACGACTGATGCATCCAGTGCAACTGCAGGCAGTGTTCTGGAACTCAATTTGTTCTTGGCAACCACCCGTGCTTTTTTCCAGAAGGGGTTGCGACCCACAGAAACATTATAAACGTACCAGTGTTCCGACATACATGTAGCTCGCGATCATCAGGGGCTGTACAGACCACGCCACTAACCCCACGCGTCGAATGCAAAAACCTTGACAAATACTCAACACTTGAAATATTTGACGTTCGACAATCCCTATACTACTAATTGTTGTCACATAATGCATAAAGGTGTTAAACGTACATGTAGTCGTAGACGCACCTTTATGCGTTGCTGTGCTGTAGATGCATCAAACGTAGTCTTCTAACATCATTGAAATAGATCGAATAGATGAATCAGGTGATAACGGAGGGTTAGAAAAACTCGAAGTCATCGTTCCTTCAATTTGTAGATGTGCCTTCTCAGATCTCATAGAAAATGATATTTCGACTGCTACAGTTCGATCTATCTGTACCACGTAAATTAAAAAGATAGTAGTTGGCCTATTTGATTTACTTTCACAACTGGGAACACTATCCCAGACAGTCGCTAAGCAAGTTTCAAGTTTCATCAGTAGGCCTACGTGGGCTGCCATAGTTCGGCGTTCCAGCACAATTTTTGCCACACGTTCAATCAACTTCCACATTCTGTTGGGCGCAAAGCGAATAAGAAGCATTACTACACACCATCCTTGGGCACAAAGTTTGGCTTATAGCTTGGTATTAGTTAGCCACAGAAACTACATTACAATATAATGATGTTTGCACCTACCACGCAAGTCTACATTAAGTGAAAATTTGCGGTCAATGCAGTGAGAATAAGTAACATATGACAGTCTGTGAGCTCCACCATTTCGAGGATAATTAATCACGATTCTTTTTGTTCATATGGTTTCTCTTGACGCAGAGCGCGGCAATCGTCGTCTGGTCGAAACTTTAAGTCCCCATGGACTCCGAATCGGCCCTTTGTTTTAGCCTGTCCTGGGCTTCACCTTTCTCCAGAGGGCCTTACATCTCACTGTGAAAAAAATAACAATGGCCATTAATTATTCAGCCCGCGAATTTAATACATTGTGGGCTTGGCTTGGGAGGTCGAAACATAGCAACCGCCCGCCTAATGTTAAAGACGTTGCGTCGCTTTTCACAGACGATGACACGCGAGGAAGGCATTGATCAGTGCGTAGATGCCACGCTACTTAGATTGCGTGCAATCGATACTCCGTTTAAAAAGTCCAGCACTAGCATTGTAACCCGGCCGAACTTGCATAAAGACGCGAGTTCAAGATTGTTTTGTTTACAGTTGCTGCAGCAACGGCCAACAGGTCAAGCGCGTCAGATCAAACCTCCTAGCTGTTCTTGCCTTCAACACGGCTTACTTTGTCAAGTGAGGTGTCTGAAAATCAGCTTGCAAGTTTTTCTAAACTCCATTCATTCGTTAACTTGGTTGCCGATCTCACAGAGGGAACGTTGCCCGCTCATCCTCTGCAGTCATGGCAAGCCTCTTCCAGAAGAAGTACACCGCTGCGAATGATTACCCCAACTTTGATGGTCACAAATCGCTGCTGTCTCAGCATCTCACCAAGGATTTGTACATCAAGCTGAGGGATGTGCAGACGGAGAGTGGATTCACCCTGGACAGAGTCATTCAGAACGGAGTAGACAACGCAGGTAGGACCAACAAAAGAAAGCAATCAGTGAGAAAACAGAGAAATCATGACACTAGTGTCTGACTGGATAGTTGTGCAGTTAAGCAAAGTCGTAATTTATTTAAAAAGTACAACACCCTATTTCTCGCACTACCAGATGGGTTGCTCGTGCTGTCCTTCATAGCTTTTTTGAGACATTACCCTTAATAAAAGTGAAAGCATATTTTATTAACATAACTTCAAAAAAGTTTGAGTTTTTCATTACTTTTATAGGTTTCTTGGATTTCTAAGATACCAGCTCTAATAGCCATACTTTGTGTTGAATTGTCTTTTACTCGGTGGTATTCATTTTTTATATCCAAATTATTAAATCATACAACTATTCTCTTAGCTTTTCTATGGGAAATCAACATCAGACTTCGGAGTGCAATGTATTAATTTGTGTGACGTTTGTTTCCAAGTGTTCACTTGTTTTTGTCATTGTATTTTAATATGTGATTCCTTATACATGGCCCTAAATTCCTTTGCTTTTTTTTATTTTACCTTCTCTTCTTGACTTGATTTTCTTACCAGTATTCTGTCATATTCCTTGAAGGGCATGTTGTCTAACACGGTTAGGGTTCTAATCCTGCTATGGGGCATACATTATGAGTGTGACCTAGGGCAAGTGACTTAACTTTCACTACACTAGCCTCTCTCCACCCAAAAGTATAAACGGGTACCTCATATGGTGAGAGTAATTTTTGGTTGATTAATCTTACAACACCTGAAATGGTCGCACCATGTGGTTGTGTACTCCGCAGTGAGTTTATAGGATTGACTCTCAGCCCAGTGAGCAAGGATAATATGGTATAATTTATAAAGTGTATTGAGAACCCCTCCGTGTTGGAATGCACTATATAAATACGCCATGTTATTATCTTTTGCAATTTACCATGAAGAGGAAAAATTGTCCAGTGGTGCATGGGGCCAGGTGGGGTAGTTTTTTTGTAATTGAAAGCTCAACATTTTATAAAGGTGTGCACCACCTTTCTGTAGGGTTCTGGATTCTTTTACAGATACAAAATTGTTCAGTCGTTCTTGAAAAAAAAATCTGTTTTGCACCCCTTGACATATGACCTGGAAATGCCCCTTAAACTATTCACACATGCCACTGTCATTACAGTACTTTTTAATTCCAACTTTTATTCACCATGTTACTCTGATATTGTTTTTTTTTTTTGAGCACTGTACGCTAAGCAGTTTCTCCGAGCTTAAACTAAGAATTTACCAAACATCTTGGTTCACGGTTAGCCCAAGTTAATCTTCTTCATAAATCCAATGGCAAAAAGTTAGAGATATTGCCGTTTTGACATTTAATATACCACTCAACAAGTTATGGACCACTTTTTCTTATCTGGTAATGTTTCCAAGCAATGAGTGGGGGTCTAGTTCTTTCATTTTTTGTCTGTCTAGATGGTGTTCTCATTGGAATAAAAAATTTTAAAAATGTTTCAAAACAACAAATGCACATTTAAGCAGTAAAATATCTCATATAAAAGGTATACACAAAATATATGTGGTCCTTGACTTTTTTTGAGTGGTGTTTGTCGGTTCATTTAAATGATTGTTGTTGCTTGTTGGAAGGGTTTTTGACTTTTTGGCTTCATCAAGTTGACTACAATGAAAATTGATCAAAGTTTATCTTACGAGTGTTTCATTTGTGTGTCAAATCTAAAGTGTTCTGTGCTGTGTCACTGATTTATATCTCAACGAACAAGGGTCCAGCTCACCTTTTCATGCTGACATAATCATATTTTTTCACTGAGTTAGAGGTCCCCTTTTGTAACTTTTTGTTATTATTGATGTGCTTGCCATGAAGCAAGTGTAAAACTCTCAAGTGTTGTGCCCTGTGATGATTTTTATGCCATAATTGTTCATGTTAAGTTGGTATCTCTTTAAAAAAAATCATATTTTAATATGGGAAATAATTTGCTCCGAATACAACCATGTACATGTACTCTTTTTCTGGCAGATTTCCACCTGGGTATCCTTGCTGGTGATGAACAGACTTATGAGGTTTTCAAAGAGCTTTTAGATCCAATCATCCAAGACTACCATAATGGATTCAAGCCCACAGGTAATTCATGACGTCACACAAAAGAGAGAACATTATTTCAGTGAGGAATACAACATTAAACATTATCACATCCCTATTGCATTTAAAGATGTGTTACATCCAATTTGCCCAGGGAATCAGTCAGCCAGAAAGCCCAAATATAGTGCCTTTTAAGAATCTGGTCTCCTCTGCTGAGGTTTTGCTAAAACAATGGTCTTGGCTTTGCTCTTGCATGATGGGCATATCATTCACAGACAACCATGTGACAGACATGGACCTCAGCAAACTCAAGGGAGGCCAGCTCAGCGAGAAATACGTCATCAGTTCTCGCATTCGCACAGGCCGCAACATCCGAGGCTTCGCTCTTGCTCCATTCATTTGCCGTGCGGAAAGACGGGAGGTAGAAAACATCGCTCAGCGAGGTATGAAGCACATTCCACATACTTTCTTTTGTGGTTTCCTTGTGAAAGTTGCCTTCCTCCTGTACATGTATAGAAGCTGAAATACTGAATACTTGGGCTAGTTACAGTTTTTCAGTGTCTGTGGTACCTAAAATTACAATATACAAAGGGTTGGCAGATCACAAACTTCAGAGATGTCTCCTTCAGATGTTCAGAGAAGATTCACAGTGTGGTATGAATGCCTGTGGAAGTAGCACCAATCTGAAAGGAAGGGGGACAAACAAAGGGATTTTCCTTGGGGGGGGAGGGAGAGCAAATATTGCGAGACATTAGGGTGGAGAGAGCCCCCCCCATGCATGCATACTCTCTCAAAGGTTACTGAAGTGTAAAGTGGCTTTGAAATCTTTACCAACATGCAGCACTTGACAAATTTAGTGGAGATCTGAAGGGTAAGTACTACTCCCTTCAAACTCTGAGTGAGGGAGACAAGCAGCAGCTCATTGACGATCACTTCTTGTTTGAGCGGCCCATCTCCCGTCACTTCACCAGTGGCGGAATGGCGAGAGACTTCCCTGATGGCCGTGGCATTTGGTAAGTCACTCTAATGGTTCTGTTTTGTCATTGTCGTCATTAGTGTCATTTTTATTTGGCTTTTATCTGGGGAAGCAGTGCTCCAGGCGAGTCCATTAAAAGTCCCTGCCAGTCCATCACAAATCATTCGGTTCTTATAAGCCAAGTCATAATCTGTTCAAAGAGCTGTGATGAAAGCTTTCCTTTTTCATTGTTCACCCTGTTACTTATCACTGGCCTTGTAAAGAGACTTGTTAAAGGGACTTGTGAAAGGACATGTGATGGACTCCGACTACTGCGCTGCCTCCACACCTAAATACAATAGCCAAGGGAGGGCATTTTAACAAGTTTCTGGGCAGTTTACAGAGTCATTTCTTTGCTTCATCTGTTCTGGCAACTAGCAGTTAGAGGTGTCAGGTGTTTGGATGGTAGATCAAACCTACTGGAACAAGGAAACCTAAAGATCTAACTAACACTGAAAAATGATTCACAAAGAAGAATGATTCATTCGTGGAAATCAGCTTGGAAATGAACAGTAGGTTTATGATATGATAAAACAGAAATTAGGTATCACCACAAGAACTTCGATGTTTATTCACAGACTAAAGACAATATCCTTTTACAACATTCTTATCAGCCCACAGATATGCAATGTGGAAACAGAAGCTAATGCATACTACAAATATGCAAAGCAAATTCTAGCCGTTACAAAAATTGTTTCCACAGTGGTCTATTTCTCGGATTCTTACAGAGTTTGGGTTTTTTATTTGCTCTCAGGCATACCACAGACAAACGATTCCTCGTCTGGGTCAACGAGGAAGATCAGTTGCGCATCATCTCCATGAGGAAAGGTGGTGACATGCGGGCCACTTTTGAGCTCTTCTGTCAAGGACTCAATCAGGTTTGTGACCTCTAGAATTACATAGGCCTGTAAATAGACTACTTAGAAATAAAAAAACAAGTTGCAGTGTAAAGGCTGAATGTCAGAATATAGGTTTAAAAAATTGAAAACCTTTCAATTTTTGGACAAAAACTACTCATTCCATGTAGCCAAACCATCAGTTATGTTTGGACTGTTTGACCAGTAGTACTACATTATCTTTTAAAGACTGCTGGCTAATTTTACAAAGGTTAAATCTCTTTATGCGGGATAAAAACATCTGCTCATTTTATGTGCAATGTGTTCCATAAAAATGGTGCGATCAAATTTTGTCCATTAAACATAAAATGTCAACCTATGGCATTTAGAACTCGCATGGTGTGAAAAAGCACACTTTCAGCCCGATGATGCTTTTCTTTTCACTGCAATCAAACTTGAGTTGGCGCCACATTCTTAGTCTGATCACTGGAGTTTTTATAATTGAACAGGGAAAACCTGTATTTCACTGTGACAATTTGATGACAAAGGAGATGCTGACAGCACCTTACACAGAAACATGCTGAGGACAGTGAGGGGAACTTCAGGGGAAAGTGGCACAAACTCCATTTTGAATGCTCATGTTTCTTGGGACATACATGGACATGTACAAATAAGATGAAATAAAAAAACATCATCAAGCCAAGAGTGTCCTCTAAAGCTCCAAGTTGTAAATTCTGACAGCAGTTTATGTTTAAAATGGACAGTACCTGCTTGCATCAGTTTTTGTAAGTTCTTTCTGTACATGTATTTCTTTCAGCCCAATGAATTTATAAAAATCTAGTACTAAGTGGCTGTGTGCAAACTGCTGGTATTTTTTTCAAACTCCTCATCAAATAGTGTTACACATAATGAGTCTCTAGAACAGCAGTTGTAAGTCACAACTTGCAAGGCAATTAGATTCAATTAATTCAGTTTTTGTCCGTTATTTGTTTGTATTGGAAACATCCAGAACAGTAACTGGCATTGAAACTGAGAATCAAACGTGGAACCCAGAACTAGAACAAACATAAGAGCTGTCTTTTAATGAAACATTGAAACAGAGCTGTCTTTTGTATTCATTGGTATTTTTTGGGGGGGGGATCTGTCCTGGAACAGTTTCAGGCAAACATGGCCGAGGAGGGCAAGGAGTTCATGAGGAACGACCATCTGGGCTTCATCCTGACCTGCCCCTCCAACCTGGGCACCGGGGTGCGCTGCAGCGTGCATGCCCGCTTCCCGCTCTTGGCCAGCGACAAACGCTACAACCTGGACCAGATCTGCAAGGCTCTCAGGCTACAGAAACGAGGAACAAGTGAGGGCCATTTTGGAAGTTGCACTCTAAATCTCTGAGGGATCTTAAACCGTGTCTCCGAAAGCTTGGTTACATGAAAGTCAAGGGGATCACTGTGTAAAGGAGATATAGATATCTTGGTCTTTGCATTGAACCTAACCTAGTGGATGAAAGGATTCTATGAATCAGATTGTCAGATTGGTTTGGATGTTGGAATAGTCAGCAGCAACCCTTACGCGCAATTCACTGGCAACTAATAGGGTTACACTAGTCAAATATTAATCAAGAAATTACCAGCGAGATTACAGAAGCAAAGAGTACTGAAGTGAGTACATCACACGCACACTTGTGTATGGAAAAGGGCATTAGAGCAAGAACCAGTGCTTGAGCCATGCATGCGCACTCCTTTCAATATACAGCACTTTCTGGTTCCAAATGACATCATCCTTCGGTACTCTGTAATATGCAGTAGAATCAAAGATGGAGTTATGCTTGGAGGAAGCCTGTTCCATTCTTTTGTCAGCATGAAATAGGTGTATTATGCAAAAGGGTGTCCGAAATAGTTCCCAGTTTCATTCAGTGGAAATGGTTAAATTTCACCTTCTTTACCCTTAGTAGTTTCTTTCAGTAGTTTTTGGAAGGCAACTTGAACCCAAAAAACTGCCAGTGGCCATGGAGAGAATGTTTCAAGCAAAGCTGATTTTAGCGGCAGAAATTGAAATTTACCATTGATTCATTTGCCTCTCCCTTCCCGCACACTCTCCTATCCCCACAAAAGGCGGAGAATTCACCGAGGCCGTCGGGGGTGTGTACGACATCTCCAACCTGGACCGTCTGGGCTCCACCGAGGTGCAGCAGGTCCAGTGCGTCATCGACGGTGTCAACAAGCTGAGCGATATGGAGCAGCTGTTGGAGAAGGGTGAAAAGATCGACCACCTCCTACCCCCTATGTAAGTAATGTAAGTATCGCCGGGTTTTTATTCTTGATCTCTGTGATCCTGTCACTGCATGGATGGATGGACCTGTGGTGGTGATGGGGATGTCACGCTGGTGATGGTTGTCCCAGACGATGTCAGCAGTGTTGTTTGGCGCCCCCACACCCAACTAGCTTTTGCATGCTGTGTGGCTCCCATGTGCACCTGGTGATATGTTGTTTTTGTTCCATTTTAGTTACTGTAGCCATGGGCGTGGCCAGGATTTTTTCAGGGGAGGGGAGGGGCAAAGCACTTGTCCGCATCCAGTTGACAAGCCATCAACACTGGATGGGGGGGGGTTTCCGAGGCAATTTTTGTCCCCTCTCCTCCCTTTTTGTCTTTCGTTTACATTTGGTTCTTTTCTTTTTTTCTTTTAAATTATTTCCTTGCGACGCCCATGATTGTAGCTTTTCTGTTTACTTGTCAGCTTTAATTAAATTGCACATGTAAATGTGGCTAACTTGATGAAACTGCAACGTTTTGCAGGGGCAACATTCCATGTGTTTTGCTGGTACATGTAAGAGATGCGTTTGATTTCATCAACCTGAAAATGAAAGAATAGTGAAACCATATCGACCACGTCTCGTACTCGTACTACATTGCATGCTGCAGTCAGTCAAGTTGAAAATTAATCTCTGAAAACCTACATTCTGTATGATGACTTTGGAGTTCATTAATATGTAATGTTGAGTTATTAATTTGTCAGATTGGTTTTTTTCTTGGCTAGGGTTCAAGTATTGAATAAATATGCCGGCGTTTACCTTACCCATTCGTGCACACACATCTCTAGCTCAGTCTCTCATAGGCACTTATGTGCAGATGCATGTGGAAATCAATTCTGTGCAAAGTGTACTGACAAAAAATTATGACAAAAATCACAGTTCTTATGCTTTTTCACGAAGTAACATTGGCAAACAAATTTTTTGTGGCGATGCAGGCAGAAAAGGTAATTTGAAAAATGACTCAAATTATTCTATTTGTAACAGAATCTTTGTTGGCTTTACGCAAGCAGATGCATCACCACATCAAAAAAATAACCTGCGCAAATTCAGCACATTCAAACGACAAAAATGCTTATTTGCCAAGAAGTGATGGTTTAGTTACGCTGCCAAGTTTATATAGGCTTCATTTATCCTTTAAATAATCATCTTTTTTTCATCTTTTTTTAAAAGCTCACTTGTACCCGCTACCCAGTCCGAGTGCACTGGTTGCAGCTAATTTCTTGGAGGTATCAGTGAATAAAACATGTTCAACTGGTCTCACGAATTTAACACTTCTACATGGGCAAAAGAATGTTCTTGTTGAAAATATAGGTGGCAATTGGTGGCACAATGCTTTTTCTTTTGATCGTTAAAACTGGCAGTACCGGGCATCAGATAACAGGGTGGTGGGTTGGAGCCAACATCAAAGGTAGGTCCTCTGATTGGCGGATTCTATATCATCATCGTTTTTTTTCCTCCCCTTTTTTTATTCTCTTTGAATGACTAAGGTGTGAGCCAGCCCCGGAGAACACTAATACCAACAACAGCAGCAGGTCTCCCAAGGCAAAGAAGACGTCGGTGTGCATAGCGCTGTGATGCTGTGGTAATGTTTATGTCGCAGTTATTCAGACAAAACCCGGACAGAGCCCAAATGAAGGAGGATAATACCAAAACAAGGATCCCTTCAAACTCCTACCTCTGTTTCTTAATGATGTGCTTAAAAATCTTCCACTGAAACTGAAAAGTGATATTGTTTTATCCGTCCGAGCTTCAGATGCATATATTTTATCCCAAAAATACTTTTGTTATGCTCATTTTTGTAGAGAGGAGTTGTTTTTTGAGGATTTGTCAAAAACATGCATTTAGTATTTATAATCTGCTTTCTCATAACGTTTGTTTTATAAAATGGACTTTGACACAATGATACTGGTGATTCAGTACCTGCACATAGCATTACCACAGCATTTGGATTGTGGTGAGGTTTGTTTGGAGTTGAAATTTTTGTTGTATATATCATGCTTTCTGTTATTATTTTTTCTTGTTTTTTGCGTGTCTGTTCATATATCCTGTGTGTGTGTGTGCATATCAGATATACAAAACAAATTTCCTGTTTTCTGAAAAAAAACTTCTAAATTGCCAGTATTTGTTGCATGAAGAAACGTCTCAAACTGTTCTGAATTGGAGCGATTTTTACTGCGTCCGTAGGCAACGAGACCTACATAATACCACCGTAGAAAGAAGTCTCGGGAAATGTGAGTTGGGTACATAAGTTTCAGCTGTGGCAGATAACGAAGGTAATGGCTAGCTACTGTCATCACTTTCCATTAGCACACACATTACTGCCAGCCATAGCCATGACTGCCGGCACAGCCTCGCGGTCACAAAATGAATGAAGATTTATTTTATGGGGTGAGCTGCAGAGCGTTTCTTTGATGGTTACAGTTCCCACATTTGTCATTTACTAGTCCATGTATTAACTGGGTGATTGGGCGATATACATGTGAGATTCAGTTAGTTAGGTGTGTGAGATGTGTGTGTAGTCCTCTTCTATGAATCTTTGAGACTGTCAGTTTTGCAGTGAGTTATAGATGCCTTTTACCAGATCATGATGTATGTAAATGTCAAAACTGCTCCACTTTTAAGTAATATGTGATGCGATCCAGCAAAATCAGTCGTTTTGTCAAACTTTTATTTGAAGAAACATCTGTGAATAAAAGTGTCCAAAACCCTATGTCTCCACGTTTCAACTTCCACTGCTGTTGATCTTAGGGTGGTTTCGGGGAGGGCATTTTTGTAGAAATAAAGTCAACATTGTACATGTATACCTTTTGAAGTAGAGAATTCAGTGAATTTGCCCGGGTCGACAAACGACTCATTAAGCTTAATTGTAGGATGTATTCAAAGATGACAAAATCTGCAGCCTTATATTGATGCGAGGAGATAGTTCTGCGTAATCACTTACCTTGCACATCATTGTAACAGCATCCACCCTTGAGCACAGAGAACACTCAACACACTAGTGCATTGTCCGGAGAAATTTAACAAGTTTTGGGAGTGTTGTAAAGAGTAGTACGTGTAACATTACCTGCTTAGAACTTCTGGTCCGTATAGAAGCAGCCCGGATTCTTCCACGAATGACATCTTGACCAGTTTATGTTCCTGTTTTTAAAGACTACTGCAGTATGATAACTGTAATAAAAAAAAATAATGTCAGCTATCATTTGTATTTGATTCATTATCTTGTGGAAATTGTTCAGAATGCTTTACCTTCTGTGTGAACCCTGAACTTTATATTCGTATCACCTTCAGGGGCTTATGTCAGGTGAACTTCATTCCTCACAAAGCACAGCATTTTCATCGTCAATTTTCTGTGTTTGGGGAATTCAATGGTGAGGATGTAAACACAAAAACTCAACACTGTGTATTTCCCAGTATACAAATCTTACTTAATGAGTGAAGTCCAGCATAATAAAGCTAAGAAACTGTTTCAAAAATTCTTGGTATAGAGCCGTTTTTTTAATCCCATGAGTTTGTTTTACACATTTACATCCTGTGTAGACCCCCGAACAAATGAGGTCCACATAACATCAATTGTGTGAAGCATGCTTGGACTATTAGACAGATCAACAAAAGGTTCCTCTCTCTGCTTCAAAGGCATTTTGGGGGTTGGGTTATCCATAGCAAAATGATGATGAACAGTCCAGGACACTGACAGAAATCAGGCTTAAAATAAAAATAGGAGTATTTTCTTGACATGAAAGTAACAATGTTCAGATGGCACAGTGATGTGTACATGTAATAAGCAGTTTCACGGTCATTTTGTGCCACCGTGTTCACAGGACAAAAAGAACATGCATTGCTGAGCATGCAGGTCAATCAGAAACTTTTGCACTTCCAGTCATCCTGTGCACTTGCGTCTAGTAATACCATACCTGTTATTTTTGCCCTGTGGAAAAGATGGCGCACGCATGTCGTCACGAAACTGCTTACTGTATCAAAAACATCAGCCACCCTAAATCTGAAAGTTTAGGTGTCGGATGTCCCTGAATTCTTCAAGGCTGTGTGTATTTGGAGGGTTTGGGATGACGACGACGCACGAGTAGAGCAAGTTATCTTCCCTGACAATGTACTGTATACATCTCAGGCTCCTGGATCAGTTTATTGCTTCAATTCATGTACTTTACACAGTGAATGTACACAAATATGCATGTGAGGATAACACCCACAGATGTTTTTTTTACAAAGGGAAGTAAAGACTTTCGCATTTTGACATCTCATTTTCTGACCAAACAAAATGCATCAAGTCAGTCTATTTATATATCTGATGTTCATTACACAACATGTGCTGATGTTAGCAGTTATATATTGACTGTAAATCAGGTAAACAACCTGGGAAGTTAGCACCATGATATGAAACATAAAATAAATTTGACCATGATTGATGAGGAATTCTCTACACTTGTTATGGTCGTATTTGGTAGCTACTGTCAACATTATTGCAATAAACAACTCAGTACTTCTTCAGGGCTGCAATAAAACCCTTGACACCACATCCATTTACACAGACAGGACTCCACTACAAAAAACGTTAATTTCCTATAAATACTCTGCCCTTCATAAAAGGGTTCATCATTTGCATTGTTTGGGCTACCAACATTTTCTAGCTACACTGCACATGCATTTACTGTCAACTAATGGGGCTACTGTCATGATATTGATATGCAATGATTCTACAAATAAAATTTTTGATTTGCGTTCTTTGTCCAATTAAAATAACAAGCAAAACAGTGCGCAGATATTTAGGTGTGGCTACAAATATTGGGTACATACCCAGGACCATCCTTTTTCCATGATAAACTGACGACTTTAAAATTGTACAAAAAATGAAATAATATAGCCATTTTTTACAAGCATGAATGTCCTGCTCTGTGCATTATTCATATTTGCCCAGTGGGTTCCAAACCAATATTTAGTTGGAACTTTCTAACCGTTGAACACAGATGGCACTTTCTGTTCTTGATTGGTTCATTTGACGCAAGTGGGAAAAACCATTTTTTTTCCCAACAAAAAAGTTTTCACATTTAATAAAGCTACAAAAAAGTTCAACAGTCCGAATACTTCGAATATTTACATATTGTAATAAAAGAAAAATCAAAGGTGATAGAAAAACCAGGTAACCAAACTTTATCAAGGTGTCAACTCTAACATCTATTTTTATGGAAAACCCATCAAATAAAAACATTAGACATTTATCTACATACGTTTAAAGAAATATATTTCATAGTACACGTACATTTTTCCAGAACTCCGCATGAAATTTGTCAACATACAAATTATGGGAGTCGTTGGAAATGGAAAAACAGTAAATCCAATATATAACTTCAGTGGAAGCTTTCATACAATGATTCTATATTTCCACAATACATAAAACATGTATCTCACATATATAATATTTGATTGATGATAGTTTGAGATTTCTACAGAGATCTGTCAACTGGCAGTCTTTGTATATTTCAAGCTACACAAAAATTTCAACATCAGGAAATGTACACAGATTTGACACAAGTGTTCAACTTTCCTATCAAAACATACATTGTACAATTACATACTTGTGCTGTCAGTGGCAATAATGCAAATTCTGTATTGAACCCTAACCTTCCCCAACCACACAAAATTAAACAGTAGTAAAGTGTTTAATTCTGCGGAGATAGGTCTGGTCGGCCCATAACAGTTGGCTTTTGCATTGGGTTTGGTATACCTTAGAAAGTCCAACAGCCTCTGTGCACAAAGTCCCATATGGGTGAAGTCCCATATGGGTGTTTAACTTTGTGCGAATGGGGAAGGTTAGGGCCAGCAACCCTTGGGGGTTAGGGTTAAAGAAAGTGGCACTGTCTGCTAGATTCTTCCAAAAAAATGTAGTGTTTCACTTAAATACTGACCTAACAAAAAATTCTGCTACAAAGGCCAGAAACTCTCTGTTACATTTCAGTGTAGAGCGAGTGTATGGATTGTCTAAGACTGAATAAGCTAGAGGTCGGTGGCTATAACCAAATATGGAGCTTAATATTACTTGATACATGTACATGTAGCTTAATACAAAGCCACTGTATTCCACAATGTTGGATTTCGAAAGATTCAGGCAGATTGCTCAATCAAAACCTTACATTAAATCAATGCCTGATGACATCAAGTCCACACACCACTGAATCATCTCTAGAGGGGCACAATTTCTAGCTAATATAACGGCTCAAGACGGTTTCCGATTCTTCAGACTTTTTCCAGTCATTGTATTAAGCTACAATCAGACATTCATGATCACACCCCCTGACCTGTGCGAACCCACTTTAGCCCTAACCCCCCAAGGGTTGCTGGCCCTAACCTTCCCCATTCACACAAAGTTAAACACCCATATGGGACTTTGTGCACAGAGGCTGCTGGAATTTGTTTTTCGGAGGTATGCCAAACCCAATGTAAAAAGCCAGCTGTTATGGGCCTACCAGACCTATCCCCACAGAATTAAACACTTTACTACTGTTTAATTCTGTGTGGTTGGGGAAGGTTAGGGTTGGACTCCATTTTTCAGTCTGCTCAATCAACCAGTTCTGGTGAATAGACAAACATTCACCAGTTTGCTCTTCAAAAGCTTTGCAGTTCTGACCTCACTTTCCTTAACACGGTTGTTAACATTCATTCATAAATACCTTACCCGTGTTTCTGACAGGCGTACCAGAGTCGCACCAAACCAAATTAAAAGCAAATTTTGAATTAAGTGTGGCAAAAAATTGCTGTCTGAAACAGCAAAGAGGGACGAGATGTGCTCGCAGGTGAAAGATCGATACTTGGAGGCGCTCAAAACGACACCAGAACGACTTGATTTCAGACGTTGCTCTTCATGGGCAGAACCCAATACAAATGCTTGTACATGTGTATTATGTCCATCTGCCAAAACCCAATATTAAATTAGGTCGACCCGAGTCACTCTCAATTCTATTTGGTTCGCCGCGACCCTAGAACGCCTGTCTGAAATGGGGGTTAGAACAGTTTCCTTATTCAACAAAGAACACCTGCGGCGATTTGATAATGCCCACGGTGCAAAAATGAGCTCTCACCTGGATATGAGACAGTTTAATCCATTCCTATTGGTTAAGAGTCTGTGTGCGCTGCAGTATGCAGAACTCGCCACCCACACATCAAGTCCATATAAGGCAAGTGAAATAGACTACTTGCACATCCAAGGAACACACCATAAAATGGACGGGTGTATTGGGGAACATAAAAGTAAAATTCTTGAACAAAATCTTTGGAAATTTATATTGTATACATATTGACTTCTGATGACTCTTTAACTAAAACTGTTTATGAATGGGAAACAAATACTTACTTGGTCAGTATTAAACTAATGTTTAAGACTGGCTTAGGAGAATGGACGTGACTAAATGCCCGACCAGCCAAGCACATTCCCATTTAAAAAAATCTACAAGGTTTCAAATGAATTACTACATGTATTTACACCAAAATGTAATCTGCACCTTGATGGCTGGCACAAAATTAGGCAACATACACTCCAAAGAAACTTATTCATGTCACAAAAAGTACTGGTACCCTCCAACATAACCAGTAATATAAAATGTAGATACCTGTTTGTAATAAAGATTATGATAAAGATAAAGCAAAAAATCAAGATACATGTGAGACACATGTATTTTAGTACAATATTACTGATCTTTGGCTCTGGTTGCCCATTGAGTATTCTGCCCTACAAGTGCGAACCAAAAGCACTTTAAAACATATCCATCGGGCAAAACGACATTCTAGATGTATACATAAATATGACAGCAAAGGGGATTGCTGTTGCTTTTTCTTCTTCTGAACTTCAAAGAAAGCAAACTGTTCACAGTTTGATAAAATCAGTCTTTCAAGGTATCCTGGTAGTTTGACGTGTCACCGTAGCTTAGATTTCTCTACTTGTTAACACAACCTGAGGCTTTCAACTCTCTCTCACTTAGCACTAGGACACTCCCTTTGTATAGTACCTATGATAGCACATGTGAAAATTAACGGTGTGGGTCTTAAGTCCTGAAGTCATGATAATACTTGTTGGTTTCAATCAGTTGCTCGTATTTCGACCACATCAAAAGCAAGCTTCAAGCGTTATTACATCAACTATCAGTTCATGCTCACAAATCTACACAGGGCAAAGACCTGGACTAAATGCACCAGTACACGTAGCTCCATACACAAGGTTCGGAATCAGATGTAGTCTCAGAAGTCACAACTACTTGGGGAAGGTTAAGCTTTCAATATTACCTTACCTCATACATATTCATAGACCAGAGGCAAGTTCTCAGTGGTCCATTCACCATCATGTGCCAGTTGCTTTTTCCCTGCTTACCAGACGTACACAAGGATTCACAAGTCCAATACACAAGTACAGTCAACTGTTAATGGGAATGGCTTACCACTCATGCACTGTATGAAGCTGTCAATCTATCACCTGACTTAACAAGCATCACCGTGGCAACATGTACACAGGAAAAGATGGCAGCACATGTAAACGTTGATCAACGTTTTAAATGATGCCCCATACTGTACTGGAAAGTGAACACTTATGAGATATGGTGAAACAAATAAAAGTGATTTATCTTTTGGGAGGACAGTCAAAGTCAGCAGACCTCGGTGCTTCAACTTTCGTTACCACAGGAAGGTAACCTCTCCTATCCACCCTCAAACCATGCTGCATTTGTAAGCTGACAAATGCTATCAATCCAATAATTGTTACGGTGCATAAACATACAAAGAAGGATCTATGCTTTTTATTTGGCAATGTTGAAAGTCCAGTGGCTAGGACGAGGAAACACCGAATAGCACGTACTGACCCTGTAGCACGTCTGCCCTGGTTGAACATATACCACAAGTCTCTCAGGAATAGTTAGAAAGAGCAGATGTAGCACACGAACTTAATCTGCCTTCAGTTTCTTGGTTCCTCTTAAGATAATGCCTTCAACTGAGATGCCTTCTGAGTTGTCTGCCAACACATGCAGCAATAAAACATGAGCAAATTAAAAGCAATATACATGTACATGCCTTGCAATAATTACCTCGCTACGCAAGGTTACATTTCCGTCAAACAGTTGTTGATATGAGTTCAACAAATCAGCACAGGAGAGTCCAGCTTTTTAAAGGATAATATTAAGTTACATGAATCATGCTGAAAAAACTACTTCTTCAAAAGCAATCCTAAAGTAACCACTTAAATGGGACTCAGATCAAAAGTGGACAGCAGTATTCCAAGTCCATCACAAGTCCCTGTAAGTCTATCACAAGTTATTCTGTCTTAAGCCAGTTCACAAGCTACATGTATGTGACAAAAGCATTCTTTTGTCACTGTTCACCCTGTTACTTATGACTGGCCTTGTGAAGGGACTTGTGACTGACCTTGTGAAGGGATTTAAAACAGGACTCATGATGGACTTGAATACAACACTGGTAGACAGTCAACAATTTCCAACTTATTTTATGAATGTAGGAGAATACTTTTTAGCATTTCATGTTAACCCCACAGAGCTGGGTTGAACCTTTTACGGCAGTGAATCAGCAAATTGTAATCTTTCTGACGCTGGTCCTCTTCAACATTTCCACTGCCAAAAAGCTGAGTAGTACTGGCTTTAACATTACCATTTTTTGCAGTCCGTTCACGGTTGCCGAGTTGTCAATGAAAATGTATTCTGAACTTATCTGTGACAAATGCAGAGCTCCTTGCGAGTGAAGCGAATGGTTCCACCTCCAACTTGTCGGCAATTTGTCCAAGACGAGTTGTGAGATGGTTCCTTACCTTGCCTCTCCATGCCATTACTCGATCTCGACCAGTAAGTCGTCCCCTTCCACTGCTAGACCCTTGCGGGCGTGCAGTGCCTTGACCGTCCCCGACACAGGTGCGCTGACCACCATCTCCATCTTCATGGCGCTCAGGATGACCACGGGGGCGCCCTTCTCCACCCGGTCGCCCACCTCCACCCGGACGTCTATGATCTGGCCGTTCATGGGTGAGCCCACGGACCCCTTGACGTGGGGCGTGGCCTTGGGGTGAATGTGCATCTCCTGGGGTGAGCAAAATATGAGCCGATGATATCGTAAAAAAAAATGCAAAATGTCAGCAACCTAACCCTCAAAAATTCTTCAAAATACATGGGGGGGTTTGGGTGGATTAGGAGCATTGGGGCCAGACAGCCTTTCCAAATACTATCCATGAGATCGTTTGCCATACAATAGGGAATTTGGGAGGATTCAGGAAGGTTGTTGCAACAGCTATGGATTTGGAATTTGGGCTAATCTTAACCCTATGACAGCAAGGCCTTTTATTACACCATCCCAAAGCTTCAATCCCAGTTATCTTGGCTGTCCAATAACCAATCATTTTGAAACTTGCTATATACATGTACTTGACTTGCATACAAAAACATTTGTTATGAGGACATGCGTGAAGATTTAACTCAATCCAACATGGGGACTTTGCTTCTATGCTCTTTGACAGTTCATAGCCTCGCATGTGTCAGCCTGTATGCACTGAGCAAATCAATGGAAGTGTCAACTTTTCGGCAGATGTGTCCAAAAAAAAGGCATTTTCTCAGAACAGTATGTCTCAGTTTCTTAAAATATGGGTCAAATTGTTTGTAAAACATTACTGGAAAAATCCTGAAGGCTCAGCAAACAAAAAAACCCTGCATTTTGATGATATCAGAGTAGCGTTCAGGGGATTCGGATTATACCCAAGACCTTTTAGGGGTAAACCCTTGGCAATGTTTGCAAAGAATCTTTCTGAATTCTCCTAATTCATCTGCTGTGCAGGAAACCAACCATATTTTGAAGGAGCATCAAAGGTCATTCGATGGACAGTCTAATTAAGGCTGGCTCTGTAGAACCCAAGCAAATAACACTCATCAATGATGGAAGACGCTACCTAGGGGAACTGTCATGTCGAATTATTTGCCAACAGACATCCCCACCGGATGTATGTGCCATTCACAATCCGTCCTGATCTCCAGTGGCCAGCAAAGGCTGGTAAAACCCAGCTGTACATTTCTGCCCTCAAGGATGGAAGCATGTGGAACACATGAGGGTACAGTACGGCAATTGTAACCAGTAACTATTCCAGGGATTAGTTACTGGCTGAGGGATTGTTCAATTTGTTTTCAAGCAGCTACAATATTTTGTTTCGAGTTTGGGATTTCCTGACCATTTTTCCTTGCTTCATGATTGCCCAAGCATGCCCCAAGATGCCAACTGGACAACGGACGTAGGCATGCCTACCTTCATGGCTAGCTTGTCCTTCATAAGTACTGATCGGAGTTGGCCATTGAGCTCAAAGAACACCTCCCTCTCTCCTGTTTTTTCCTGCAGCTCTCCCATGGCCAGCATCTTCACGTGTAGCCTCTTCCCTTTCTCAATTTGCACCTTGAAAACGAACAACAAATCACAACTTGAGCCCCTGATTCTAAGCCAAGAACAACTTGCACATGTCAATCACAAGCAGTCAAAGATCCTTACTGAAAAAACAACAGGGTACAAGATTCTTGTTGATAAAAATGTGCCAAGTAAAATTGAACTGTGTAAAACAAAGTATTATTACACCACCAATTCCACTGCAGCCTTGTACGATGTAATTGAATCTTCAGCATTATTTGCAATAAACACACACTCTCAATCCAGAGACGTACTCGTGCTCAGCATAATGCCAATATGGCTTCAGAAATGATCTTTGAGCTTCAAATTTCCCTCGTTTTCTTCTTCTACTGCTCCAGTTTCAAACAACTACATGTGTACCTCTGTTACATGCGCCAGTCAGTTTAAAGCAAACTTATCTCCATTTTAACCCTCCTTTGGTTTTACAGCACAAATGTGCACACGTGCCCAAGGTCGCTCTCTTGCATGTTGGTGCAGTGCACAATACGACACAGCTGTGCTTCTTTGAGGTGTTTACCAAGTAACCCAAAGAGTGACTTCAGCATAGGAGGGTTAATGGTTGTGCCTTGTTTTTTATAACTGGCTGTTGTCGCTGTTAAGCGTCGTAAGCTAAATGGAACGGTACTATAACAATCTCATTCAATATTTTGACTACTTAGATCAATACTCTACGACAATGCATGGTGCTCTGTGTCTGCTGATTACATATGTTCTCCTACCAACAGTGTGTCAATGTATTGTGATCTTATTTAATTCATGTGTTTCTTTTCCTTGGCACATTACACATCATCATACATGTACTTCATATTTTAAAAACCACTCCGGCAATTTTTTTTCATGAACAAAAGGTTCCAGTGCTGGCAAACGCTTCCCTTGTCGAATGTTTCTCATCACTCACATCGAACTCTTCGGCAATGTGTGGGCCAACGAGGAACAGCCTCGTGCCCAGGGTCTCCACCGGACCATAGACCTTCCGGAATTCCATGAAGTCATCAAAGACCTTCGGGTAGAGCGCTGAGCTGACCATGTCCACCTCCCGGACGTTGGGGCCGTGTTTTTCGACAAGGTCCGTGTGGAGTTTGTCGAAGTCAAGGGGTGGAAGAGACTCCCCTGGACGGCCCTCAATTCTTGGCATGTCCTTAATTATCTGGAATGCATCAAGTTAAAAAAAAAAACTGAATAAGATCAGAACATAGAGCTGTCTCTAAGGACTTGTTCGTCAGATTCCAATCCAGTCAGTCACAAGTTGGATTACAAGTCCGGTCACAAGTTAGTTAGCAAGTGACAGGGGTGAACAATGACAAAGGGCGGCCTTGGTCTACAAATTCATTTAAAAGCTTGCGACTTGACTTGCGAGTGGATGATTTAGGAGTGACTAGCAGTTCATTACAACTCAGTATTTCATAAGGTGTAGAGAAAGCTGGACTTGACCATAAGTGGCCACCCGGTCATACAGCTCGGGGATTTTACATGTGGTCAACCATACTTTGATGGGTACAGAAAATGTAACAAGTGTTAGTGTATCCACGGCAACACCATAACCACAAAATGAACATGTATGTCTGTTTGAAGGCTATTACTCAAAGCCTAACTTCCTATTTGACTTCGTCTTTGTCTCTGGAACTATTTGCAAACCTGTAACTTTTTCAACCAAATGGAAACATTCCAATCTTTGATTAAGTATTACACGACTTGATGGTCTTACAGCAAATATGGACTCATTATTGAACCATGAAAATGTATGATAAATCTTCCCCAGACCTTTTCAAACTGAGAGAATAACCATGTGATATGCATGTCGCACAGTCAACTTAGCCAATGATGTCAGAAGGCACTCCGCTCTGTGAATATTGGACAGACTCTACACAGAGACCAGATTTCATGTGGGGGTCATACAGCACCATCTTACTGGTAGATTCACAAGCCACCACTCACCTTTGACCTGAGCGGTTCAGGGAAACCCCCGTACGGCTGGCCCAGGTACCCCTGCATGAACTCCACCACGGAGGTCGGGAAGGAGAGGTCCTCGGCCTTCTCAACCAGGCTGGTCCCGTCCAGTTTATTCTGGACCATAAACTGAGCCAGATCTCCGACCACTTTGGAGGACGGAGTCACCTTGATGAAGAGCAGAGAAGTAGACAAATCCACAAAATGAATTGGTTACAAAAAACTCCAGTCCCCTTCAGAACATCAAAGGTACATTCAGAAGCAACTTAACTAACTTTGTGACTAATCTTGTGCCTAAGGTGATAGTATTTGCCATTGGAACACACCACAGAGAGCAACTGTAGCCACAGACAACAGATTTATTGGGCACTGCCTCAGCCTGGTCAGTGGATAACTGGTTACAACTGGTCTGTCCGTTCACAATCGTAACACTTCCTGTTCTAAAAAACATTAGAAACGATACCTTTTGGAGAAGAGAACTGTGAAACAGCTGTCAAGAACTCAAGGTGCGCAGACTGTTCTAGCCAAATCACATGGCCTTGATTCACCACCATGTGTGACATCTGTTGGTGATGATAAACACTGGAAGGCCCGATGATACCAATTACTGGGTGCACACGGTGGTGAATCAAGGCCACGTGATGTGGCTGAAATAGTCTGTGAACCTTGGCACCTTTTGCACAGATCTCTTTCTCAAAATGGTTTCATTAATCATTAAAACAATGGACCACAGCGGTCTTCCACAATATCACTTCCTGTTCTTGTGACCTCTTTTTCCCTACCAACCTTGATGAGATCCCCCAGCAACCGGTTGGCCTCCACGTAGGACTTCTTCACCTCCTCGAACTGATGACCCAGCCCCAGGCTGAAGGCCTGGAACTGCAGGTTGGTGTACTGGCCGCCAGGGATCTCGTTCCGATAGATGTCCGCATTGCCGCTCTTCATGGTCACTGCACACTCGAAGGGGCCATAGAACTGCCGGGCAATCTCCCAGTAGGCACTGTACTTGAAGACTTGATCCAGTGGGATGCCTGGAGATATTAGGAAAAATGGCTGCAGGTCATTTTCTTAAAAGTCAAGCTGTCTATTCCACAACAGTCCAGGCTGCACAGCAAAATGAGTGAAATGGACTTTGCAACAAGTCAGGGTATCATATTTGTATAATATTGAGTAAGGTTTTCATTTGGTAAAAAACATCGAATCTTAAAGAGAAATATTGCGAAGAGCATATTACTGGTGGAGTCGTCTTGTCCTCGACTAGGAAACTGACCACATGGCATCCATGTGAATGCTTATCACTAGCACAATCACTAATTTGGTACACCGTCAATGACAATTCATCTACATTTCATGCTTGTAATTTTAAGTTTAAGAAAGGCAAAGACAACCACAATGAAGTATTTTTATGCAAACTGTTAATAAGTTTCGGACAGTGGCAACTAAAAAATACAGGTAAGTAAGAAAAACTGTACACAGTCTGGACGAGGCAGGAGATTTTAAAATGTGCCTGGAGTCAGAAGATTGACCAATTCTCCAGGAGTCTTCTGCAAATTCCAGCTCTGACATGCACCCTTGTTCTCTAGGTGTAATGCCAGACCAGTCAGCCAGATAGGCCAATATCCTCCACACAAAGAGCTTTAGAGGACGTCATGCCTAACCAGTAAAGACTCTAAAAATGGAGTGAATTAGTGGGTAACATTCATAAATCCATGGATTACTTGGCATTCTTTGGAATGATTTCTACAGCAAAGCACAAGGCAGTCATGAAAAGCCAAAATTGATGTGATTTGGAGGAAATTAAGGAGCGAGGGTAAAAGAAATACCTGTATCCTTTTCAGTGCCTTCACATGCTGCCACCAGGGCACCCATGCTGGGTTGGGAGGTCATCCCTGACATGGTGTCCACAGCAACGTCAACAACGTCGGCCCCTGCGTCAGCGGCTGTCAACATGGCCGCCACACCGGCGCCTGAGGTGTCGTGTGTGTGTATGTGGATGGGCATGTCCGGGTACTTGTCTCGTAGGGCACCGATGAGCATGGTGGCCGCCTTGGGCTTCAACAGTCCGGCCATATCCTGGGAATGAAGGATCAGAATATTGTCAAGTTGTGGGTCTTTTCAAGCCATCTGAAAGTCTTCCAAAGTACCTTGATGGTTGACAATGTCGGAGATGGAAATCCCAGGGAACATTCCGCGAGATTTGAGATGGTAGCCGGGGAATCTGATCTTCAGACCACTATATTTGTTTATTTCAAACCAAGAGACCGTGATTTTACAAAATGTATAAATTTTACCAATTTGTCACATGACTAAGCTATTCATCAAAAACTGACAATGTCAATCCAATCTACAGATCTTTCAATGTAAATACCACGGTTGCTTTTTAACCCAATCAATTTCATTTAACTTTGCCTTGACGACTGCAAGGTCTGGTACACACAGAGTACAACTTGCAGTGTGCCAGAATAACTTACACATGAGAGTCTTACCTTTATGCACAAGATGTGCGTGCCGGCCTTGACCAGCTCATCGGCCAGCTTGAGGTAGTAGTCCATGGTGTACTTGGTCTTGCTGGGATCTGACACGTCCCCGCTGTAGCTGATGGCTGCTTCCACCACACCCCCCGATGCCCCCACCGCGTCGATGCCAAGGATCATGTTGGGCAGGTAGTTGAGGGAGTCAAACACGCGGAAGATGTCCATGCCGTGCCTGTGGGCGAGCTCACAGAATCTGCAAGGCAAGGTTTACCATCAAACAATCTTTAGCATGCTGGCCTTCATCGAGTTAGGAGGAAACTTTTTGTTTAGTTGGGAGTGTCAGGCCAGAGGTGTGTACAAATGTACAGTACTGTGTGCTGTCTCGTGACCACTGAATGGCAACTTTGAAAGTGTGTAAAGGAATCCTGTCAGAACACCTGTGAAATTCCTATTCAATCAAACTGACAATTTTATGTATTTGTCATTTACAGTTAATGTTCTCACACACGTCAGCCTGTGCATTTAGCCAGTCAATGGGAAAGTGTACATTTTGGCTTACCAATCTTGGAAACATTAATAATTTTTTTAAACAGTGATGTCAAAATGATCACTATCCATCAGTGAAAAACTCCTAAAGGCTCAACAAGGTAGAGAAATACATTTTGATGATTGCTATCAACATTTTCCAGGTTAGAAATCTTTGGGAAAGGGAACAAAACGCATCCAACCGGCAAAATGGAAGTACAGGAAACTTACTTGAATACAACGTTATCAGGGTAGCTGGTGTAGCCGACTGCATTGGCTCCACGCAGTAACATTTGGAATGGTATATTGGGGATGAGCTCTCGGAGTGTCTCTAGCCGGTCCCACGGGCACTCATGGAGGAACCGCATAGCCACGTCAAATGTCGCGCCTAAGTGTACAAAACGTACGGAGGATATGAACCAGTTTAATGGCACTGCATTGGTTGCAGACATCAAACTTTCATCCACACCAACACAAAGGTTGGGGTTGTGGTCTGATGAGTTGCTTTAACTGTAGGTTAGTTATAGTGTGCCATATCCTGAGAGACTTCCTTTTACATGCCTGAGCCAATGACTCTGTCAACTCTAGTGAGATGACGGATCTGCAACTTTGCATTGACAGAACTTGTAACTTCTCAGAAAACTGCTGTTGTCCCTACCAAGAAAAAGATGACACATCCCTTTGATGGTGAAGTTAAGTAAGCCTGCACGGGCAGACCAAGGTTAAAACAGTTTGGAAGTAAACCACTCAATGTGGCAACACATAGGTATGTCCCATCTTGGCAGAGGGAAGGGTGAAAGTGTATCTTTTAAGGTGTACCATGCTTAATTATCACACCTGTTCCTCGGGCTACAAGATTAGCTTCACACAGCAGTCTGAGATCAGCGCAACCTGTTCTAGATAGACAAGGGCCATTGCAGTGAAGCATCTTGCCCAAGAACCCAGCAATCACTACTGCCGTTGGGGTATAAACCAATGAATAAATGTGTTCTACAGCAGACGGCATAACAGCTTCAGCATGGTCCTCGACGTAGATCTTCCCGACTGAGGTACAAAACTTGCCCAAAGCATGATGGGTATCACCATGTCTACCACATACCTCCCCAGTTCTCAATACTGCACAGGTTGCTGAAGTTGTGGGCCACAAACGGCGATATGTTCTTCAGGTCGTACGTCCGCACCCGGGTGGCAAGCAGCGACTGGTGAGCGTCACGGAAGGTGGTGTCCATCAGAAGCAGGCCCTTGTGCTGGCGGATTGCTCGGGCAAACGCCTCGGGCCCTTCTTTGAGGAGAATATCCCTGAAGCCGGGAGGAGGTGGCACTCCTGTCCAGAGATTACAAAACGAGAAATAAAAAGTCTAGTGACAGCGAATGATGCAATAGAGATGGAACAATGAAAGGAACACGTTCTACGATATTCTCCTCGGCACTCAACCTCAATAGGGTCCTTCAGAGAAATCTAGCTAAACCCAAACAAAGCAATTTGAAGTCTCCTAATCTGATTACATTCAGCAGTGCAAACAAAGAATTTTTTTCACGGTTCTGATCAAAAGGACTGCAAGTTTAAACTCTTTTGCTCAACTTACACGTACAACTGATCAACAGTGATTTCCTTCTTGAAATTAAGTCAAAATAGACTCTGACAGAGGGGACAAAATTGGTGCGAATTCATGATCTCCGGCTTACCGAAGGGCACGGGAGGGACTGGAGCCTCTCCTGCGGCTGGCCGGAGCCCCGTGGCAAGAGGGGTGGACGCCCCGTTGACCAGCAGGTTGGCAAAGTAATGCAGCAGCTTCTGAGCCCGGTTCTGGCTGGGCTTGAACAGCGTGGTCAGGGAGGGGTTGTCGTCAATGAAGTAGGTGTCCACCTGGCCCGTGACAAACTGCTTGTGGGTCAGGACATTCTGTAGGAAGGGAATGTTGGTCTGTGGAGGAAGAACCGCATAGGTGACTGTGGTTATTAATAAGCAATAGATGTAAAATTCTTGATCTTGTTCAAGCAAGCCGCCACTGACACTCTTGACGCCTGCTAGTAAGCCTACTCAAGAAAAAATACCTGGTATCCTGAAACTTGTAACCAACGTAATTTCACATGTACATGTATGTTCACGGCTGTCCCAAGACCTGTTCAGGAAAGTTGCAAGCTGCAAAAATGGTAGAAAGCAACAGGGGTTGTCTTCATGTTCAGCGTTTTTCTTCCAATGTTGGTATTATCCTTTTTTCAAGGCCTGCAGCATTAATCAACCGAAAAAGCCTGGACAGTGAAATGACTGTGGTTCCTAATGGTTTAAGAGTGAATTAGAGTGTGGGATATGATGACACAATACCCGAAAATGCAGAAAGTTTTGTAGAAATTTAAACAAAAATATGTGCCAAACAAGGCTGGGATACCATCATTTCAGAAAATGACATGTCAGTCTCTGCCCCTTTGCCACTCGACCGTACCACAGAGCCAACTCAACACACTTGACACTCCAGATATGGATCTCAGCCACACCCAGAAGGCTATATCTCTCTATGGCGGACAACAATACCAACCCGCCAATCCACCTCGACTTCCCCAGGATACAAAACTCAGCCATGTCCACGGGGCTACAGCCATTTAATATAGCTCCATGGCCAGGCAAGAGAATCAACCCACCCACCTTGACCCCTCGGATTCGGAACTCAGCCAGTGCCCTCAACATCTTGGCTACAGCACTCTGGTGGTCCCGAGCGCTGGCGATGATCTTAACAAGGAGGGAATCATAGTGGGGGGAGACCCAGGCACCAGCAAATGCCGAAGCGCTATCAATCCTAATGCCCATGCCCTCACCGCTACGAAACACCTAGGTGTGAAAAGGACCAGCAGTGAGTTACGGAAATGACTATCTGTCATGCCTACTATACTATCAAAAACACAGCATATTGTTTATCAGGATGTTTTGAATGTGAATCATTGAACGTTAACATTCAAGACCGGCTCAGGAGAGTGGACGTGACTAATGCATGAGTCCCAGGCGAGGGCATTATCAGCGTTCATGCTTCTGAACCGGTCTTACACGTTAATTCAAGACCGACTAAGCGCATATTTATTCCCATTCATTAATACTATTTTAGACAGAAAGTCAAAGGAAATCAATATACAATAAATTTCCTAGGCTTTTTGTTCAAGAATTTTTCTTTCATTTCCCCGACAACCCCCATCCATTTGATGGTATATCCCTTGTGCAAATAGTCCAAAATAATCTCCCTACATGGGCTTGCCATGTACGTAGCAAGTTCCACGTGCCGCATTCACACAGACTCTTCACCGATCAGATTTGATTGAACTGTCTCCTATCCAGGTGCCAGCACGTGATTTACGCGGCGGGCACTATAGCATCAATACACTGTCATTAATACACTGTCACATGACGTGTTTCGATCAATGGGAATACAAAAACTATCCCAGGTATCTATGAATATCTCTTCATGTCAGACTGTCGGTTCTAAAACCGACCAAACTTTCATGAGGTCTACTTCTCCACTCTCATGCATCTTCCATAATTTTCAACAACTTGTTTCATATAATGCATTGTACCATACTTCAGACAACCTAGCCAAATACGAGAAAATGTATCACATCCTTCCTCTGTTCACAGATGATGCCCAAGTCTGTCTGAATGCATTTGCCTTGATACCTCGATTCTTCCCATGTCCGGCTGGAAGTTCTTAGCTGGGTCCTCGGTGGTGATTCTGCACTGCATGGCACTACATTGGATCTGAATGTCATCTTGGGCTAGGCCCAATTCAGGTAAGGAACTGCCCTCAGCAATCTTGATCTGCGACTGCACCAAATCAATTCTGGAAAAAACAGAACTTTGTCCTTAAAAACTATGGCCAAATGTTCAGTGGAACAGTTGTGGAATTGCAGATAGATACTTGAGCAAGTTTGGGTAGATTGTATGGCCTTAACTTAGCTAGCAAAAGTAAGATTTGAAGCTTGGCATGGTGGAAGTTACATGAGAGGTGCATGTAGGCTTGCCAGTACACCATAGGGGCATACAGCACGGTGTACCGTAAGTTAACTCCAAGACAGAAATCTACAGACACACCTCCAAGTTAACAGTTTCTGTTTGTAAAACTTAATGGTCTGAAAGTCTCACCCTTTATAACCAATAACCTACAGACAGGTTGTTAACCCATTTTTCTGAATTTAAAGACTAAAATGTAAAAGAGAGACCAAACACTAGCCTACTTGTAGTTAATCATATACTTCAGTGACACTATTAGCAAAGTTCTGTATTGAAAACAGTCAACAGCACATGTGAACCAGGGAAGTTTAAGTTCCTTTATAACTCGTTCTCACTGGTAAGCTGCAGAGCCAACTCTGTCAGCATGTAACTAGCGTCCATATGTTAGGCTCAGTCCTATAAGCTCATCATATTGGCCGACTTCACTCTGAAAGAGCTGGGGAGGCGGGCAGCCTCAAATTTTTACCAACATTGTCTCAATGTATTTTTTGACCATCTTGAGTCTTCAAGATTTTTTCCAACAAATGTCTAGCAGTCATTTTGGAACTACTCTTATGAAAATCGGACACGCCATTCTTGCAAGGTTAGCCAACAATAGAATTCTTCCCGCTGATGTGAGCAATGTTAATGCCTGCAGGGCAACTCATACATGATGCCACAAACTTTAAATGGCTGTAACAACAAACCATATGTCAGACTGAATAAGCCTTTTCCAAGTTAAATTTGAATAAAATCTGGTACACTGAGTTCTTTAAATTCATGTGAACATAACAACTTGAATTCTCCATACTGAAACCACTGTTGCTATACCTTGTGATTCGGGGCAAGCTTTTGCTTAGTTACATAAGAGACGCCTTGCAATAATACACTGTTCTCAATGGATAAGAAGGGCACAAAGGAACTGTTCCATTCCAGAGATGGTGGTCGCTATGCAAACGCTTGCCCCGAATCACGAGGTATAGCAACAGTGTCTTCAGTCTGGGGAATTCAAATTCTTACGTTCGTGTGCAATCAAATAACTCAGTGTACCAGATTTTATTCAAATTTACTCTTCACAGATGTACAAGTACATGTAGGTGAGCTGAATGCCTTTACACACTACACCATGCTTCAAAAGTACTGGGCATGGGATAGCTGAGTTCTAGGGGGAAGGGGGAGCTTCCCCCGGCTGTTTGACGGGTTAAGGGAACACTAACCCTGTCACTTCCTCTGTTACTGTGTGCTCCACCTGCAGCCGGGCGTTGACCTCAATGAAGTAATGCCGACCATACTGGTCCAGCAGGAACTCCACCGTGCCTGCGTTCTCGTAGCCCACGTAGTTGGCCAGTTTGACCGCGTCGGCGGTCATGCGGTTCCGGAGCATGGGGTCCAGCAGGGGGGCCGGTGCTATCTCAATCAGCTTCTGGTGGCGACGCTGGACGGAGCAGTCCCGCTCGTACAAATGAATAGCATTGCCATATTTGTCACCTATCAAAACAAGGTGAATGGTCTATATGGTTAGAGTTAGTAACTCCCGAAATAAGGGTTTCCAATCGAGCAGTTGGCTATATGTTGTGACCCTGGCAAAGTCACTTAACTCCCACTAGTGTCTTTCCGTCAAGGTGTATAAATTGGCACTCACGAGGGCAGGGCTGGTTTTGCTTAATCAGCTTTTGCACCAGAAATGGAAGCACGGGGCTCTTTACTCCCCTGGGAGCTGAGGTGGTTTTTAGACATGTTTACTGGGCAGGTGAGCTGGGGTAATGATATGGCAGTTTAAGCACCAGTAATGGTGGATATGTGGGCTCTACAAATACCTTTTATTCTTATAAAACAAAATCTTGCTTTGGCTCACAAGGGCTAATAAATCATTTGGCTTTTAATTTTGGACTTTTACCCTGCCTGACGTGTGCAGGTATCACAACACCGTACACTCAGTGTTTGCCCCGGAAGGCTTGTGAAAAACTACAAGCGCACTCGGGTCGGGCAGGGTCCCCCCAAAAAATCCAAAATTAATCAACGTCTCCCCGGTACAAATCCATCCTTGGAGATCACTTGGAAATCAAATGAAGAGAAAAACTGCATTGAGGGAAAGTGTACACCGTACTATGTCTCGCAGCAACAAAGACGACTTACAGGTTCAACAAGGTACATATACATGTACAAGTTAACAATCATTAACCCTCCTATGGTTTTACAGCACAAATGTGCACAAATGCCCACAGTCACTGGTAAGCATGTATTTTCTATATGGAACACAAACATGCACAGGTTCAGTGGGTACACAGTTGGTTGCCAGCACAAAATGACCCAGGGTCTTTTGTGCAGTCCTCTTCACTGCATTTGGTTTCCTGCACAATTATGCACATGAAACAGTGAAGCAAACTTGTTGGGCAGCACAAAAGTGCAATCTGATATTCCTGTGAGGGACAGTTGGTGTAGTGCACAACACGACACAGCTGTGCTTCTTTGAGGTGCTTACCAAATGACCCAAAGAGTGACTTCAGCATAGGAGGGTTAAACAAAATTATCAGTCTTACAACTGTGAATGTAACTGATGCAACAGATTTCTCACTTATGGATAAGTACGCAGTGTCATCTGTTCACCAGAAACCCCGGTCCCTATGGTAAAAACCAACTACAAACCACATTCCCTTTTTAAACCTTGTAATATGCAATGGACATTATTCCAACAATGACAAAGTCATCAGCTCCAATTATGACGGTCTGACGCCCTCACCAAGAATCTGCACCTCGATGTGCCTGGGTCGCTCAATGAATCGCTCGATGAACATGGACCCATCACCAAAGGCTGCGAGGGCTTCCGACGTGGCACGCTCAAAATTTTCTTCAACGTCCTACAAGGACAAAGACAGCACTGGGTCACTATCAAGGCATGTTTCAATTGCCTCAGCATGTAGTAAGCAACAGAAACAGTACATCTGAAATTGAATTTATAAAGTGTGCTTGGCACCAAGATCATAAGTATCAAGTGTGCTGTACACAGAATATGAACAACTGAAAATCCTAAACCCAAAGCCATAATAAATAAAATACACAAACAACGACAAAAAATATAACATGTCAAACCAAACTCCATCAAACAAAATCTTTTTTTTTGTGACAAAACACTTCCCTAAATTTATCCCCAAAACATGAATACCTATAAAATTAAACAGAAATGGAATTTTTCAGCTTCTTTGAAAATCTGTGAATGTGCCACTTCTGCATCAACCGACGCACCCAGACAATTTAATATGACCGTTACGCCATCTCACCTCCATGTTTCTAACAACCCTCATGCCTCTACCGCCCCCTCCGTATGCCGCCTTAAGCATGATGGGAAGGCCAAACTCCTCCACAAACGCTTTGACTTCTTCCTTGGTTTTCACCGGTCCGTCGGTGCCCGGGACTACAGGAACACCTGGGAATAACATGAAGAAATGAGCCAGTGAACAACTAGCAAACCAACCATACGGATAAGTTTACTGAAAACGCTTCCATTAAAAAATGCAACAGCAATCTTGATAAGGTATTTAGATAAATACTCACAAATTAAACTTTTTCAGGAGACATTTTTATTCCACACTGAAACATAAACCACTTGGCGACTGAATGTAGATATACCAACAGTTCTTTCATGTGAAAATACAGTGTTGTCCGAGTTCAATCCTGGAAGTAATGCATGTGCCTAGTGGCCATGCCAATTCCCGTAAACGAGTGTGTCATTGCTGACAATAACCACATACATACACATCAAACACGGCCAGTCTTCCTGCTTAAGCCTGCTTGAACAATTCTTAAGCTTGTGAAGTTTTTCACAAGCCCTGTTACTGAAAGGCACAATTCCCAACATAACATTTCCCAGACACAAAAATTACATCTTAAATGTTTGGCATCGTACCCACTGATGATTGACTCAAATCGGCTAGTGGACCCCAACATGCTCTATGGTTGAGTGGCAACATGTCTGCACTAGTAAGCAGGAGGTTGTGGGTTCAAGCCTACCTGAATTTTGTTCACAAGCCTTGGACAACAATGGATTACTGACAACACTGGGTAACAGTGTTACAATCAGGGTGGGGGGAAATCAACATCGTTGCCACATGAACCACATGATCGTATAAACTCTACAGAATATGAAGTTGACAATTAATGACTAGGACTTTTCCTGCTTTTGCGACAATCATTCAACAGAGTCCTAAAATTGGCACACCTGCAGCCATGGCAATTGCACGAGCCTCAACCTTGTCCCCCATCTTGTGCACCACGTCCGGCGAGGGACCAATGAACCGGATACCAGCGTCTAAAACTGCCTGGGCAAAATCTGCTCGCTCAGATAAGAAGCCATAGCCCGGGTGGATCGCTTCAACGTCGTTTTCCTGCGGGTACAAGGCAGGAGTGTGCTTTACATCAAAATTCATGAAACAAGACGAAAACCACATCAGATTATGCACAGTTTGCTAGTGCAAGATGCTGATAGCCAGTGACAATGTAACAGAACGAGCAGTATTGACAAAATACATGTACATTCTCACTTGAGGTAGATTACCCTCATGGATTGTACTTTGATCTTTTCCTCAGCTTTCTTCAGAGTTGCAAATCATTATTTATTTCTGTCAACTCAAGATGTCCTTCAAATGAGTATTCTGACTTCATCTGAATGTTCATAACTGCATTTGCAAAAAAAAAGCAAAAAAATTGCACAACGTTGAAAAATATTCCAAATCAGCTGCCAATAGCTCCATAGTCTCATAATCTTACCCTTGCCACACGAATGATATCTGGGATGTCCAGGTACGCCTGCACTGGAGGAAGCCCCGCCCCTACAAGGTAAGCTTCATCCGCCTTCCCACGATGCATGTTACCTTTGTCCTGCTCAGAGTAGATGGCTACTGTCCTGATGCCCAGCTCGGTGCAAGCTCGGAAAACACGTATAGCAATTTCCCCTGACAGAAAAGAAATAAAGCATTCGAGTGATTCTAACATCACTCTCATTACATTTATACACCAGAAGGAATCTTTGACCTCTCACCTCTTGCATAACATATGATCAACCTGAATCAAACTAGCCATGCAACAACCTTGTGGTAAAGGGTACCCAAAAATGTACTGGAAATTTCAACCCATTCATTTCATTCTGGGAAATAAAGGTTTGCGTTGTGAATCGCATTACAAAAAAAAAAAAAAAAGTTGGAAAATTTTTTGGCCAATTTTTTTTTAAAAGTCTTCTCAAGCTGTTGTCGAAAGCAGGAATGTACAGTAACATTGTTATAGACAGTAATGCATTACAGGAAGAGACATGCAGTTTAAACTGCTGTATACAGTACATGGAGCTGTAAAAAAACCCTGCCATCAGCCCATTTGAGTACTTCAAATATACATGTACATTAAAGGCCATATGACAGCAGGGAGGTACTGTGACTCAAATTAATACTGGTACCCCATACAGTTGTACATCAATCACATTATCAGGACTCTTCAAAGTTCCTGCAAAGCATAAATCTAACTGTGGCGAACTGCAGAATGGGCAAACTCCCTTTTCCACGACATGCAAACCCTTTTCTCTTCGTTCCAAACAAAAACTCATCCAGACATGGCCTGTTGCGGAAACTAATGATTTTCTGAAATATTTCATCACTGAGGTGTAGGTTAACTTTTTATGCAACTGTAGTGCTGATGCACATTCTTTTTTTTTTTTCAAAAACAAAAATATTCTGTTTGGCCAGTAATTTCTCACAAGTGGCATTCAAAAACAAAGCTCGTTACCACTGAAGGTTACATGGCTGTCAAGTTTCTTACCTCTGTTGGCCACCAAGACTTTGTTGATTGGCACCTTCTCCACTTGGAGCTTTTTAGGAGACACTGTTGAATATGAGCTTCTCCTGCCATGCATAGTGGTCGTGTTCGCTGAGGAGTCACTGGGATTGCCGCTGCCATATTGACTCGTAGATGTCCTGACGGTGACGTAGCGAGTGAATGAACCCCTCGAGTCAAGTACAGCTCGGCTGATTCGGTGGCCACTTGACCGGCCACAGAGATGCCTCAGTTGCAAGGTGCGTGATGCCTGGGCCTTCAACATGTTGGTAAGACGGGTTGCTTTGGTTTCTACGATCCTGCAATAAAGCAATATGAACAAAACATTTTTATTAATTATAAGAAAGCTGATTGAAGATGATAAGTGGGTTAAATTCTGGCTTGTACACAGGTTACATTCAAATTCTGATACACACCTAAACTAACAAGCAAGTCTGGTCCGAGCCAATTTGGCTCATCAGGCCGGTGTTTATCTCCGGTTTCCTTGGCATGAAACGACTAAGAACATTTTCGGGGTCCGAATATTATCATATCCAATAGACTGTCATAGACTGTTCTCATCTTGGAAACTACAGGTAGTCTTAGGAGTGCATGTGCTGTAAGTAAAGGAAATGTCAGTCGCACCTGTACCTGTAAGTCAATAAACCTTCATGTGCATGCACACGTGTATCATTTATTTCTGGACAGTTCCTCTGACTTTGGAGCAACTCCCTGCCAACATCTGTCTACAGCTACACTAAAGGTAAAATGTTTTCACAAAGGCTACAAAGACACTGAAAATTGCATAAAAATGCACATGTTCTTTTACATGTAAATGAAAAGGTACATGTACAGTGTATGTGTACACGTAGTCTGTAGTTTCCAAGATGAGACCAGTTTATTGGACATGATAATAGTCGGACCCCATACATGTTTAAATATTTTATTTTGTTATTGAAACCCAGATGGGGGGTATTGTACTGTAAGTTGCATGTACATGCAGGGCTCAAAAGATTCCCTGTACTGCCTTGCAACCCAACATTTCAAACATCAGTCTAGTTCACTACATTCTACATGTATGACCTTACCAGACAAGCTAACGGTACAGTTAAGATTTCTATGTCACCTTTTTAAAATGTGCTTTGTTATTCCATGGAGGAAGAAACACAAACAGTTTGTGTTCCTTCCTCCATGGTTATTCTGGCAATATAACGGTTCAGTTCTAAAACTGGTACATGTACTGTTAATTCTAATCCATTTACGAATTGTACATGGTTGGGCCACTGGCCCAGTGGTATGTTGGGTCCTAACATGTACACTTACAGTGGACGCCTTCAATGGTACATGTACATGTAATTGTTATGTCCATGTGTGTACATACCAAAACAACACTTGAAGCAAGAGGTTTGTTTTGGTCATTGTTTCACTGGTATCTCAGGAGTTCTTTTCAGACATCTAGGGGGGTGTGTTACATGTACATGTAGGTAACAATAGTCTAGAGTGTGTAAAGGGATTGGACACACATGTATGGGGGGTACCCCCTCCATCTCATTTCTTGCTGGGTATCCGGTTCGCAAGTGACTTTGTCACAACTTAGGAGGACGCACCACGATTTGCGGGCTTCCATTGGACGATCACTGAAGTTGCACGTACTAACTTCCGGTTCCATGGTCCCATAACGGCAATCAACGCATGTAACTCTATGTGCAATGTATGTGCAGTGGGCGTGGTTTAAACTGAAGTGACGTCACACTTACGAACGGGATACCAAACAAAGCATTGTCTCCACGAGGATACAGCATTCATGCATGTTTGTTTTCAAGATACTAATACCGGTACATGTACATGTACCTCTATACATGTATGTACTTTAGGCCACTTGCACTGAGATATTCAGGTACATGTTACAACATGTGATACTTGGTATGGGAAGCTGGCTGCATGACCTACAGATTTCACTGACGAGTAAAGGTCGGGTAATGGCACTAATTCTTCACAAACCTTGACATTCAATTCAAAGTACACACAGTACTGTACATGCAGCTCAGCATGCAGAGTGTTACAAATGTAGACGACTACAAAACGTTAATTAGTTTCCGTCTCATCAAAAAGTCAAAAAGCTTGAATGCCAATGAGCTACCAGTACATCATGACCCAGCAAGCAACAGCGGGGTGGGGGAACATTTCCAAAGTGGGGGTCCATTGTGAGACCATCAGGCATCAGCTTTTAATGGACCTGCCCTGGTCGGGGGGGGAGGGCACTTATCCCAAGTCAAAAAGTGGCCACCAGCCCCTTCCCCACCCCACTTCTGCCACCAGTGCCAACAAGTACATACATGTACATGTAGGCCTATCTGTAGTCCATTCATACTGCACTGACCAATAAAGTTCAATTTTCAGCCTGTAACCTAATACTTATATTAGGCCCCCCAAAACATACATGTACTCAGTCTCTGGTCAGACCAGAGTTCCAGAATTGATGTGAATATGCAGATTTTTTTTTAAGGGCTTTTTAAGACTGGCAACGGACACAGAAATGAGTGGCATATTTAATCAAAGAGCAAAGGCTAGCAGTAGCCCGTTGCACGTCATGCCGCCAGTTGTTGATCAGCTGGCTGTAACTTTGTAACCTACGCATGGTCTACTGTTTTTGTACGACATCAACATTACGCAGTCGTAATGGATCTATCACCGGGTACGAACTACCCACGAATTGGTCTGGTTCCTTGAAGAAATTGCCCTTCCGACTTATGGACTTGTGGCTGGGAATTAGTCTACTTGCAAATATTCAAGCAGTGCGGAAATTTCAAAATTGACACGGGCACTGACCAGAGACCAACTATTTTTTTTTGTTTTGGCCTTATAAAGTGTACTTGCATACCGCTACATGTGTGTTTGATTGGTTCACTTTCCCGTAGATGGGTTCATGCACAAAATCCACAGCTTGTTAACTGTCAAATATGTACATTCATGAATGAATTCATAACTGAATCTGTTACGGTTCTGTAAGTTAAAGTCTACTCAATTAACCTTTTCATACTTTCAGAAATTTTTATAAAGAGACATATGCAAAACGGCTTACCTTATAGTAGTACCTTCCCACTTTTTGTTCTGTACATTGTTAAACCCCAAGAACGATAATCAGTCTTCCTAAACTTCAACTGCAAAACAAAGAGCTCCACCTGTTGGCAAACACGAGCAAAGTCCTTGATAAGAACAGGTACAGTAAAGAGAAAATGTTCTGACATTTGGGAGGAAACTTGTCTGCAACAGATGTTTAGATCGAGTCAGTCTATCATTTATTAAAAGGCAATTTCTTTGTAATTTAGAGAAATTTGTTGGCACACTGCACCTGCAGGCTTTACGTTGTCATTTCAGAGCTACTTAATGTGATCAACCTTTGTACAGATAATACAAAAAGAAACTACGAATGACCATGGATCTGAAATGATCAAAACAGACCAAGGCTGCCAAATGTGACCTTTGGCAGACATCGGTGAAGAATGCTGATGATGCAATCACAACCACCGTGGCCACAGCCCAGTGGGTCATTGTATATGTGTGAACTTAACTCTGCAATTTCAACCAATCAAAACACTTTTCTGTTGTTACTTTTTCCAAACATCCATGACACCCAGACATACAATTGCTCCTGTGTACCAGTAAATCAAGTCAATGCTGCATTCAGTGCATCAGTGCAGTGTACAGTACTTGTAGATATGTACATGAATGCATTTTACAAAGTCTCAAACTGTGTAGACTGAACAATGGGTCCTTGCTCTGTGAAGTAGGCATGTAAGTGGGGTTTGGGCATTTTACACATGGCCAAAAAGAGCCGAGGAAAGGGGGAGATGGAAAAGCTACGAGTGGGCACAAGTAAATTCACTAAATGTGACCCACTCTGGAAAAAGGAGTCTTAAGTTGCCAGAGCCACTTTATTAGTTTTCATTCGTATTCGAAAGAGCAAATGGAGCTTTTTGTTTGATGTATCACTCAGTTTGGCATCCCCATGAAAGTGGATACTCCATGGTTAAAAATGCTGTGGGTTCCTGTTGACTGATTGTACATTGTGCCAAATTATTCTAAAGGACTTTTTACTCTAAAGTGGCTCTGGCGACTTGCATGAGACTCCTTTTTGCAGAGTGGGTCACAAATACCAAAAATGCTGTTTGGCTAAGATTAATGGCTGATTGGGCGCCTTACCATTTTGTGATCAGATTTATGGAAGGGAACTAATGTACTAAAGTACAACAACTGCAATGATTGCTGGTACCCGTACCATTCTGTACATGTATAGCCCAAGAATAAAACACCCACTGCTGTGACAGAAAATTGCTGGTTACACGTGCAAGCACAACATACACACCATAAAGGACAGACATACTGGAAATCAATCAGAAATAATATTACCATGAATATTCTTTGCTCATAAACAGTCACGGCAAGGACACATGTGCAGTACATGTAAATTTATTCATAGTACAAACAATCGGTGCATGTACAGATATGTACAACGTACATGTACCTTTACCTGGTTCATTGCACAGATGTTCAGATGAGTACCAGTATGTGGTTCACATGTATACTCTCTCTTATCTGGTTTAACTTTACAGCACTTCAGCATACCGGAAGTAGAAGTGCCATAGTGCACTCATGCCTATATGTACATGTATAGCTGTCGTGGGCAAAACACACATTTGTGTACATTCAGACGAAAGTCAAGTAAACTAAGCACCCATTGTGGACATGATCAGCCTTCAAGGGCTAGTGAACATCTACAATATTTACCGAACACATTTGATAAGCATACTGTAGGTCTGAGTAGAATACCCTTAGGGTGGACAGTGACATCCCCCATTAGACTGGGACCCTTATCACTTTATCAGAGACAAAATATTTGTCATCCTGCAAAAACCTTGTCAGATTACCCAGATAAGAGGAGTGATATATCACTGGTGGGTGACAGACAGGAAGGAATAGATTAATGCACACCCTTAATCATATCTATAGATCTAGAGCTGTGAATCAGAATTCATCCATATGCGGGCAATGGCAAACAAAACATGGTTTTGTCTTTTGCTGCTTCTCCCAAAATACTATGTATAAAATATACATGTATGTGAAGCCACTGTGATACTTGCATACGGGTACATCAATTATCTGCTTAGCAACTTGTTATACAAACACAGCTTAGATATTTGCTATTAAAAAGGTCACTATCTCTTTGACCATCTTTTTTCCAAAGAGGTCAATGCCAAGAATCTTCATACACTACATGTTGGTGTACAAAAGTACATGTATAGCCATTTCACGAATGGCATACATGATGTACATGTACATGTACATACAGTTTTGTGGGTATAGTAGACACAGTGCATGTACAGGTGTATCCTACGGTATTTTTTAGTTCCACTCACTTTGAGGAATAGACTTTGCAGATGACTACTCGTATGCATATACATGTACAGTACGTTGTAAATGACCACCACATGCACAGGGCCTTTTTGGTTTTTCACTAACATGTACAGATACATGAACATGTATCTTGAGGAAACAACAGAGATTCACCTTTCAGTTTGATGAAAAAATGACAGCAGATGTACACGTATGTAAATCTTTATCCGTGTCTATTTTCTGCGCATGCAAATGCTGTATACTCACGGCGGCAGAAATAGAAATGCAGAGGAAGTTTCAAAACTACCGTTGTCCAAATTTCCAAGAAGCTGAAACAATACACTCTCCATCAATTTCAACCACATCTCCGTGTAACTTATGTTAAACCCAAATGATGCAACAAAAATGATTTCCCTTACCTGTGTACATGAACAGATGACTACGTGCACAGCCGCACAGTACACATGTCGATGTGTACTACACTGTACGTTGTATACATGTACCAGTAGTGTCTGTCCACTAGTCCTCCATGTACACTGCACTCCAGAACCCGCACCAGTTTAATCCAGAAAATTTATGCAAATCATTCTGTTTACCTACTATTGCCTAGCCTCTGACACACCCCCACAACCAGCCAATCAAATTGCTGGCAGCTGCAAGCCTTTATTCAGCTGTTAACAGCAAACAAATTCTATTCATAAGGTGTCTATGGCCTGCCTTGCCAAGGAATACCAGTGCATGTATTGTAGAGTATGGTACATCCGTTATCCATCTGTAGCAAAAAAAATATTACTCTTGTGGTATTGATGGGTACTGCGTGTACTATTACATTCATGCAAGAAAATGCTATGAGTACATGTAGTGCTGGAAGTCGAAAATTAGTCTGGAATTAGAAAATGCATGAATACATTTATAGGATATTGCCCGTTTGCCAGTAAAATGCTGCCTTAGTTAAACTGTACATGTACATTGTAAATGACCACTCATGACCCCCCCAAAAAACTGCCTACTTTCCTTGAGCATTTGGCACAGAGAAAATTTAACACTACTCACAACAAAAAATGAAAAAGGCGTTTTTCTTCAAAGTGCTTAATGTACATGTACAGTACAATATTTCATCCCCTCAAGTTGAGAAATACCATGACAATAATGTTGACATAAAATGTACAATGTACTTTAAAACACAAGAATGAAAGGAAAAAGACGAAGCAATCAACTTGTGTAATTTTATGTTTCCGTAACACATCAAACCTTTTAGTTTATTCTTTACCTGTTGGAGGATTGACAACTGCTGTTATGGTAACCCAATTTCACACAGGGATAATAAAGCATGCCAAATTATGCGCAATGCTGCAAAATCAATAACCGGTAAGTTTACGCAATTAATTTGTAATTCCCAGCAGGGCTAATTAGTAGCATACATACTCTGTACACTGTACATGTGCATATGTATTATACACATGTATGCTTTAAAGTTTCGGAGTGATCTAATTCAGAGGAAAAGAGCTGAAGTGCATTCCTTCCACAACGTTGCCATTTGGTTCTGTAAATGTACAGTCGGGGCAAAAAGTTTACATACACCTGGTAGAACAACAACAGTTTTCCTCAAATTTCACAACTTCACTAATTCCTACCAACTTTTCTTTTCAGGACAGACCGGTAATGTACATGGCGTATGTATCAAATAAAAACACCAAGAGACACATACATACATGTACTAGTACATGTATATATAATATACAACCCTACTACATGTATGTAGTGCCACCTTCAGTATTTTTGGTCATATCTCATATTCGCAGTGGACCACTTTCTGAAGTATTTTTGAACGACAATAAGGGTGTAAATGTAAATTTTCACAAAATGATTTTTGAGAAATATTGATATTTTGAACCATAAAAATGTCTCTGAGTATTTTTAATTCAAGGACATGTACACTCTATGAACATTGTACAATTTGTCTGACCTCATAAAGAAAAAGTTGGCAAAATATTGAGGAAACTTGTTTTTCTACCAAGTATATGTATGTAAACTTTTGGCCCCAAAGAACAGTGCAAACATGTTCTAATGAGTCAAATTTGGGCCACTGTCTTTTCTCTACACTGTAGTAGTTGTATGTAATATACATGTACTGTACATACATTGTACATGTAATCCATTTATTTTTGCTGTAATTTTGTGACATGGACCCACTTGGGGGCTTTTACCGTACACACACTGAGTAACACAATCTGTTTTACAATGTACATGATGACTATTTGTTAATTTGAGAAAAACCCCAGAAAAATGGTGAAAACATTCCCTTTTCACTAATCAAATCACAGCTGGCTTAATTTGTCATAAAATTCGTCTGGCAAAAAACCCATAGACTGTAGGCCATTCCATGATTGCGCATACATGTACTGTGCGCACACATGGTCATTGACTGCTTGGCACCCATTAATGGGTGCTGTACATGTATAACCAATCATTCTTCCAATGATTATCTGTCTGGATGATAGCATGCCTGACGGCCTGTGTGCTATGCACCTGATATCCACACTAAAATATTGAGATCCCCTTCATTGAGTTGAGAACTAGTTGCGTTTACTCTGTTATTCCACATGCCTGTCTGTTTGGAAAAGAAGTTCACTTTACCAGTACAGGTCATGAAGCTCTTGAGCAGGTCCTGTGCTCTTGCACAAGTCTGTGGAATGAAACCACTCCTCAAAAAATATGAAGAATGTTGGCGAGCCAGGCTATCTACTGTTAAATACATGTACATTGTATATACTGACACAGAAATTGTGATCATTGTGTAAGTAAAACGAGCAGTTTTTGTATTTTGTCTTTTAAACCACACCACATACATGTTCTGGTAGTAATGTAACCCATACTAAGCGGTAGTACAAGAAAAGTGTATGGTATATCCAACATACATACATGTACAGGAACAGGTACTATAGGCTCTCATTTATATTACATGTACATTGTATGACATGTACAAGTACATTGCATGACATGTACAAGTACATTGTATGACATGTACATGTACATTGTATGACATGTACATGTACATTGTATGACATGTACATGTACACTCTATGACATGTACATTGTATGACATGTACATGTACAGTGTACATTATATGACATGTACATTTGTACATGTACATGTATCCATACATGTGTCATCCACGGATACTGTTCCAGAGTCCATTTACCCGGTACTGTAGTATTTGCTTAAAAAGCTGAATCCAGATTCCCGTTCATCCTGCTGATGCAGGACCCTATAGAGCCCTTAAAGGGGCATAATATGAAAACAAACGACAAATTATTTGAGTTCTTCATTAAATTTCTTTAAAAATGATACTTCAAGGCAACTTACAGCCTTTCAAATTGTACACTAACTTATGGCAAGTCTATTTCATGGTCTTTAAGACACTATAGTGCCACAAATTCAGCACTATCAGGGTCTGAAATATGAACATGGATGTAAAGTTTTGACCCCCCACTCTACAACTCCATGTCCTCACCATAAGCACTTGAGGAACAAACATCTCATCCATATTATTACTTGATTATAATACATGTATCTTTAAGCATTTAAAGTAAACCGTCTGGGACAGGTCGGTTGGCTAAAAAAAGTCCTTGCCATCATAATTCAATCACGTACGGAATGCACTGGCTAGCTTAGGAATAACTGGCATTTCAGAAGAAATTCTATTCAAGACAACACCACAGATTCTCAGAAGGCATCCTGCAATAGGAGCATCTACATACGATAACAGAGGTAAGGAAATTGTCTTGTGCATACATACAAATTACAATGTTCGTTCGGCAGTACTTTAGGTGTAATGCACATAACCGTTATCTAAAAACATACATGTACCAGGTACTTAGCAAGTAAAAGGCCCTTTTTAAAAATGCTGGTGGCACAGTACAAAGCACACATGTACATGTGTACACGTACGTACCCCGTACGTGAACACCGTATTTGTGTTAGGGTGTACAGAGAACAGTGAATTACAATGTACATGTGAATGCACCAATGATGCATGGGATGAGTGGAGCACCAATGTATCTTTTATCACGCAGGATAAGAGGAATTACCTACATGAATAAGCCTGCATTTGCGCCACAGGCATCTGCTGTGTACAATGAAAACGGTTGATACCCTGTTCCTTTCTCAACCATGTAATGTGCAGTGATTTGTTAAGTCCCGTTTGACAAGTCAGCCGCATGCACGGTACTCTGCATGCATCTCAATGGCATTAATCTAATTATTTGTGTAGTCAAATTGCACTAATGGGTTGGTGTGATGGCGTACCAGCTGTCTGCATGAGGGAAAATTTCTAGTGTAGATTTGTTTTGAGTGTCGCAAAATGACTTCAGTAGAAAAAAAATTGATTAAAATTGGCAAATCAGTGTACCGGTACCTTACATGTACATGTATATGAGGTGGTAAGGCTACACATATCTTTAAATAGGGAGGGGCAGCACTGGTTTGATTAAAAAATGTGGGACACTTGCCTTCTTCTGATGGGAAGATTTTTGGCTACCCTGGAAAATATATATCTAATGAGGTCTTCTACAAACTTTGATCTGGTTCAATATTTATTTATTTTTTAATTATTTCCAGTTTGTTTTCAAAACAGGAAACTCGTGTGTCATCTCTCACTGTGTTGCTGAGTACATATATTGTAAAAGCACCACTTCAAAGACAGGGAACTGTTGTATCGGTACTTATTGTCCATTTGGCTAAGACACATATGCATGTTATATGCCACATCTCTCTGAGGCTCCACCGCATTTACAGTTTCAATGTAGAATTTCTACATTTTTATGGTTCCTTATAAAGTAATGAACCCAAAACTTTCCAATTGTTGTGACAAGAATACACAATGCACGTACGTTTTGAGTAAACAGCACAAAATTTCAACTTGTAATCTACAACTTACTGTCAAGTTTAAAGAGCCAATGAAAGTTGCTTGCTCATGAAATATAAGAATTTAAATTGTTACATGTATACATGTACTGGGGCCAATTTCATAGAAATGCTTAAGCACAAAATTTGCTTAAGCGCAAAAAACCTGTCTTAAAAACAAAGGTTACCAGCCCAAAATCTACGTGATTGTCATGCTACCAAAAGGCAGGTAAATACCATTCCAAAACAATATACATGTACAACACATGGAGATTTGGCTGGTAACTTGATTTGTTAACCAAGGTTTTTTCACGCGTAAAGCAAATTTTATGCTTAAGCAGCTCTATGAAATTGACTCCTGCTGATAGCAATATTCTGCATCAATTGAGTTCACATTTGACATAAGGTCTAGTCATACCAATGGTGAATACCCAGTTGGCCCTAGTACAAATTATGCAAAGAGCTTACACCATAGAGCTACACCTATGGTTACACTACACTAACTGGCATAGGTATGCATTCTTTGCATACAAATCCCATCTCCATAGTGAGTGGGTCTACTTTACATGGATCGTCTGCTGTCATTATGTAGGCTTTGGATGGCATTTTGTTGGATGGTTGAGCTTCATGTCTTCCACTGTTCCATCAACTTCCGTCATGCCTAGAATGTTTTGAAATACAGTACTTCACATCCACACACATACATGTACATACATGTACACCCTCCTACTGTTTCTGTAGTTTACTACCCGAGTCAGGTTTCTAGATTACTATTCTTTTGAATCATAAATGGACATCTGCCTTACGTCTACTGTGATTTAATACATAGAGTACATGAAACCCTCATCAGTATGGCATGCATGTATATATTTACAACCCTCCTATTGTTTGTAGGGGCACAGTAGGGGAGATGGGGTTAATTAGAACAGGGGTAAGTTGAAACATTGAGATTTTCTTTCCCAGAAAAAAATACCCGGTACTGCTGTTCACAAGTGTACATGTACTTAACAACAGCCGACCACCATGTTGCCTGTGGTACTGGTGCCTCAATAGTTTATGAGTGGGAAAAGAAAACTGTTGAGCATTCAACAATGTGTAGTTTGAACTACGGGTATCTCAGTGACTAGTTTCTTAGCGTTACCATCCAGGCTCTGATGCTGAGCTACAAATCAGAATTTAAAAGCTGCGTTATTGTAGTGCCCGTTTTGTATATTTATCTAGTAAAATTTCATGTCACAATGGCCACTGGGACCAATTCAATGGGGGACGACACGCGGAGCATGGTGTTCTCACAGTCCTCAATATAATGACTACATGAATAATGCGTGCTTACAATGTACATGTATGCTAATGTAGTCAATGAAGGAAGTGACCTTTAGAGCATTTTTGTGTGCAACAGAGTTAGCTGCAGGCCTACATACAGTACAGTACAGGTACCAGTACACTGTACATCTGTTGTAACTGACTTGTACCCTAACCCCACATAATACTAAATTTAAATTACTACTTAGTAGTAAAATGTAGCATACAATGCTGTCACTTGTACCTGTGTGAGCACAAGACCTTATTGTTCTCTGAATAGATAAGACAATGTACCATGCATTGCGTGGCACTATAAACACATGACTGTATTGTTCTCTGACTGAGTAACAATGGAAGCGCCCTCACTAGAAAGTAAGTTA